CTTTCAACAACTTGATTTATATATTAAAAATAATCAAACCTCGCTTATTTTTCTTTCTGATATTCAGGATTTTATTAGGGTTTATATTTTCAAATCGAGGTCCCTAATTTCCAGCTTCAGCCATTTCAAGCTTCAGCCGCGACAATAAATATTACATTTGCCCGCTTTACATGTTTCTATTAGATGAATTATTATGTAATTTAATTGGTTAATTATCACGAGTAGATCTATAAAAATTAACCAATTAGACGAGACGAACTTTCCTAAGTAGCAAATGGTTGTATCGTCTTTCTTTAATATCAAGAATATGGATCTTAATTCTCATTCACTAACGAATAAACTTCTGGTTAATTTAACAGGAAATAAACAAACCTAAAGCGACAAAGTCACCAAACGAACACGAACGTGTAAAATACGAATTCACAGGCCCGCTGGTTTTTCAATGCATAACTTGCAAAGTAATAGTAGGTGATTCTTTCGCGTTCGTAGCGGCAGAGCGTGATTTAAACTCAGTTGCGCTATATGGTTAGAAAAGTTTTTTATTATTTATTTAATAAAAGAACGTGTATTAACGCGAGTTTTGCTATTATTACTCTAATTTTTATCCTTAAACTAGCTAAACCACATAATATTCGAGTTGGCACAGAACTTGCATGGTCGAAAGAGGGTGCAGATATTGGAAGGTGGATGCATTTAAATATATATTTTTTTAGATGATTCTTAGATGATTATTTTGGTTTATCATGCAAACATTATGCTTAATCAAATAGCACGTTCGTCTTGATGTATTGCAATGAATGCAATGCGGTAATCGGCAAAGTCTGGCGTACCACCCCAAGAAAACTGGATTATATACGGTATATAAAGATGTTGAAACTTTTTTAATACATAATAATAATAATAATAATAATAAATTCAATTTTTTGATCATAAGCGACATGTATTCCATCAATCTTAGTAACGTCAAAATGTAAGTTTTATTGGAACTGTTATATTTCAAATTGCTCTGATCATTATTCTGATTATTACTCTGATCATACGTCTTCATTAGATACGAGTGTGGATCTTATATAGACCCAGAAGCAGCACCACTAGATATTCATACTTTACCAAGTGCAAGGACACAACAAATGTCCATAAATAAGGTAATTGTTTTTTTTTTGAGAGCTGTTAAATAATAACAATGCAGATTGTATATAATTTTATAATATTTTTATATTTTACTCATTTTTGTATGTATCGATTAAATAGCTCCAAGACATGGTCATGATGTTACATCAACGACTTGCAAGTTTGGAATATAGTATGGGTCAACGAAATTAGTAGAGTTTAGAACCGGGTTATAGTAAACCGTGTCACCCAAAACGGTTGAATATGTAACCTCTAACAATCTGTTACTATTTACACAGAAAACATAACAAAATTTATAATTGTATTGTGAATAAACACCCTTTTTCTCTTACTAATTTATCTAAATGTTCAATCCCATTAATCTTGATTTTAAAAAAACGTTACAAATTTTGGAGGCTATACGGACTATCTATTGTTGCGAAAATTTTGTTAAAAATTTTCCTTT